TAAGAAGAATTAAAATAGTCACAAGATGTAGCTTTCATCTGAGTCAGACAATATGCATAGTATGTTTCTTTAATTTTATTTTTATTTATCCTAGTAGAATTTTATACTTTACTTAAAATGGGCCAAATCTCTTTCCTGCTGTTTTTATTTCCAAGTATTGCTTATAATTTGTGTGTTTTAATTTTTATTGTAAATGGTGTCATTTTCTCAGTGTTATTTTCTAACTGGCTTGTTGGGATAATGGAAAGGTTATGTTAATAGCATATGTAGCTTTTAACTGGCCATGTGTTTATTACTTAGTAATTATGGGTATTACTTGATTGAAGACATTAAGCCACTTTAGTTTGAATAATTATCTTCAGGACCTAACCTAACCTCATTTAATATATAATAATTTTTAATTTTTTTCTTTTAAGAATTATGTGTAAGTGCTAAATATTTAAAAAAAACTCTTAGAAGCAAACTTTTATTGACATAGCTTCTTTAAAAACATTAATCATATTAATCATGGCCAGGCATGGTGGTTCATGCCTGTAATCCAAGCAATTTTGGAGGTCGAGCTGGGTGGATCACCTGAGGTCAGGAGTTCAAGAGCAGCCTGGCCAATGGGGTGAAACCTGTCTCTATTTAAAAAGTACAAAAATTAGCTGGGATTGGTGGCAGTTGCTTATAATCCTAGCTATTCTAGAGGCTGAGGCAGCAGAATCACTTGGACCCAGGAGGCAGAGGTTGCAGTGAGCTGAGACCATGCCATTGTACTCCAGCCTGGGCAACAAGAATGAAACTCCGTCTCAAAAATAAAAAAAATTACAAGAACTGAAATTAAGTTTAATTGTCTTATAAACATTATTTTTTAGAACCGATATCACTGTGATTACCAGGCCAAAAAAAAATTCATCCTACAAACATTATTGAGTGTGCACTGCGTGCTCAGCCCTTTTTTGAAGTGTTGAACATACAGTGGTCAAAGAACGGAAGAAAAGTCTTTTGAGACAGTCTCACTCTGTCACCCAGGCCTGAGCCAGGCCACAGCACCAGGCCAGAAAAGGCTTTCTTTATTGAATTTAGTTCAGTGAGGAGACCTAGATGGATAAATTTATAACAAAGGGAAAAAACCAGCCTAAAAAGGCCGAGCATACCCAAAATCAGAACCCGTCCCCCTCTACAGGGGATTGCAGTTCCTCATCAGCAACGGAACAAGCCCTGATGGAAAAGGACTGTGTTCCATTATCTGAAGTAGGCTTCAGAAGGTGGATGATAAGAAACTTCTGGGAATTAAAAGAACTTGTTCTAACCCAATGTAAAGAAACTAAGAACTTTGAAAAAAGGTTTGATGAAATGCTGAAAAAAATAGACAATATAGAGAGGAATATAAATGAACTAAAGGAGTTGAAAAATACAACACGAGAACTTAGTGAAATATGCACAAGTTTAAATAGCAGAATGGATCAAGCAGAAGAAAGGATATCACAGGTCGAAGACCAACTTAATGAAATAAAACGACAAGACAAGAAGAGAGAAAAAAGGATGAAAAGGAATGAGCAAAGTCTCCAAGAATATGGGACTATGTGAAAAGACCCAATCTATGTTTGATTGGTGTACCTGAATGTGATGGAGAGAATGAATCCAAGTTGGAAAATACTTTTCAGGATATTATCCAGGAAAATTTTCCCAATCTAGCAAAGCAGGACACTATTCAACCCCAAGTAATACAGAGAACACCACAAAGATATTCCTCAAGAAGAGCAACCCCAAGGCATATAATTGTTAGATTCACCAGGATCGAAACGAAGGAGAAAATACTAAGGGCAGCCAGAGAGATAGGCCAGGTTACCCATAAAGGGAAGCCTATTAGACTTACAGCGGATCTCTCAGCAGAAACCCTACAAGCCAGAAGAGAGTGGGGGCCAATATTCAACATACTTAAAGAACAGAACTTTCAGCCTAGAATCTCATATCCTGCCAAACTAAGCTTCACAATTGAAGGAAAAATAAAATTTTTTATGAACAAGCAAGTACTCAGAGATTTTATTACCACCAGGCCTGCTTTACAAGAACTTCTGAAAGAAGCATTATACATAGAAAAGAACAACCAATATGAGCCTTTCTAAAAATATACCAAAAAGTAAAGAGCATCAACATAAACAAGAATTTACATCAACGAATGGATAAAATAGCCAGTTAACATCAAATGGCAGTAACCCTAAATTTAAATTGACTAAATCCCCCAATCAAAAGATACAGCCAAAACCTAACGGTATATCCAAAGATACACAAAGACTCAAAACAAAGGGTTGGAGAAAAATTTACCAACCAAATGGAGAGCAAAAATAAATAAATAAACAAAAAGCAGGAGTTGCAATTTTCACAGTTGATAAAATATATTTCAAAGCAACAAAGATACGGTGGTAAAAGGATCAGTGCAACAATAAGAGATCTTAATACCCAGATACATATACTCATAACGAGATTTAGACTCAAGGAGACAGAAAATTAATAAGGATAACCAGGACTTCAACTCAGATCTGGAACAAGTAAACTCAATAAATATTTATAGAGTTCTCCATTTTAAATACACAAAATATTGATCCGCCATTATTAATACCCATTTTTAGAATGAAGCAATATTCCTGTTCTCTCTCCCTCTTTTTCTTCCTCTTTCTTCCTCTCCTTCTCTCCTTTTTTTACTTTTCAACATCCTAGTTCCTTACCTCTACTCAATACATTCCTCTCAACACCTGATTCCTTGTGATTCTCCTGTCCCACTGAAACCTCCAATCCATTAAAAAATAAATAAATAAATAAATAAGAAAAAAAAAAGAAAACACATAAACTAAACATAATTGGTAAAAGATAAAATGTCAGATGGTAAGAGTTTGATTCCAAAAAATAAAGAGAGATAAATAAGGAGGCCAGGATTAGAGATAATGTGACAAATTTAGATTGGAGCTCAGAAAAGGTATCACTAGGAGATCATGTTTGAACTAACAGAAGGCAGTGTAAGGAGATAAGAACTGTGGATATCTGGGGAAAATAAAAGAAGTTTAAAAATGTGAATGAATAGGAAAGATTCTTAAAACTTTGCTTGGGTAGGTAATTATTTCTATTTAAAGTTTTTTGTGTTTTCAATTGAGGGAGGGCCTCTCAGTGTTTGAGACCAGCTTGAGTCATTTCTAAGATTTAATGTTTCATTGTACATAATCTGTAGAATTAAGATCCTCTTTCAGGCAGTATTAAGATTCTACTTCAAAGCAGGATTATAAGTATTGTGGTAAAGTGTGAGTGATTATGTTAATTAAGCAAATTCACAGTTTTAATGCAACATAATAAAGAATAATAAAATTTATCTTGTATTTATAAAATTTTTTATTCCAAATTCATTGTGTATCACAAGTGAAGTGGTTCAGAAAAAATTACAGAAGTGTAAGTTCACACAAATCACCTCTTTTTAAATTTCAGTCTGTCAGCGTATCCCTTTTACTATATTCATAAAGTAATTTAAAGATGATCTGAAAACCTAGGGCCACTGCAAACATAAATTTTGAGTCGAAGGCATTGCCAACTCCACCTCTGCTTCTCTAAGTCCTTCTGGCTATTGAACTTAGTTTCCTACATCATGGTTCTGTTTCTTTTAAGAAGGAACATTCTAAGGAAACATTTCTATATTTTAGGTCTCCTAAATTAAATTTTAAAATAATAATATCAATTTGTTAAAATTTTGTAAGTAATGCTAAAATGCTTGGGAAATGGGAAGGACAAAACAATTTTAATGAATAGCAAAACCTGATCACTGAGCAACCAATAAAGTGTACAATCAGAACAGCCTACATTGATGAAGGAGTTTTTGCCTATACTAAATGAAAAATAGCCTCTAATTTAATATAATGTGGTGATCTGCCATTTTTGACTCTACCTGATGATACGTGTTGTTTTGAAAGTGAAAGCATGATCTTATGTCTACCTCGAACTTATATCTTATTTTTGCCCTCTTCTGAAGTAGATTTTCCAAAAACTCTTTCATGATATACTCTTGCATTCTCTGAGTACATAAAAAATGGTTGAGAGGAAGGTGAGCAATTCAAATTTAATTTATTCTCAGCTGGGGCTTTTGGCTCACACCTATAATCCAGCACTTCGGGAGGCCCAGGCGGGTTGATCACTTGAGCCCAGGAGTATGAGACCAGCCTGGGCAACATGGCAAAATCTATCTGTACAAAAAAATACATTACCTGGGCATGGTGACATAATCAAATGTGCTCCCAGCTACTTAGGAGGCTGAGGTAGGAAGATTGCTTGAGCCCGGGAGGCAGAGTTTGCAATGAGCAGAGATTGTGCTATATACTTCAGCCTGAGTGACAGAGCGAGATCCTGTCTTAAAACTATAAATTTCTATAAATTTCCTCCTTAATAGACATAAATTTATCTTACAAAAGGGCAACTTCCAGCTTTGTTTTTAGTACTTTTTCTATGTCTGCAGTTTCTCGAAATAGCTAGCTCAAAATAACCCTAGCCAGAGAAGCATATTTGGGGTGAAATAGATCACAGTCTTATTTTGGGGTGACATGTTCTGAACCCTATAAGAAGTTAAAATAGAATCTATATTTTTGGTGATATATTTTCAAATTTTCATTCTTATTTCTTAATGCTACATAATCACTATTTCAATATTTTATTAAATATTAAATTAGTAGAAAATTATATGTGATTTTATAAGTGTTTTATTTCCCTAACATCAAATTATTTGAGGCAGTTTCCAGATGTATAGTATGAAATCATGGAACAAATATTAAAACAGCTTTTATATAATAAGTTAAATGTTCAAAAGCTTTAATTGCACAAAACAATTTTAGCATTTTTTTTTCAAATATGAAACATTCTGATATGGTGTTTGATCAAACCATTGATCAAAAGCTAAAAATATCTCCAAGCATAGTTGTTTTATATATATGTGTGTGTGTATATACATATATGTGTTATATGTATATTTTTTCCCTTCCTAGGGTTATGGTGGCTATATTGCATCAATGATCTTAAAATCAGATGAAAAGCTTTTTAAATGTGGATCGGTGGTTGCACCTATCACAGACATGAAATTGTATGGTGAGTACTTCTATATTATACCTAATATAATGTATTGATTTGTAGAAAACAAGAGCCCAATGCAGAATAGCTCAATTGAGCTCATTTATCATGTTATTAGAACCTGTTTTGAGCTGTTTATCTTCCTGATTCAGTTGATTTTACTAAAGCATGACAATTAAGTGTAAAATGAAGAAATTAAATAATAAAATATGCTACTCAAATAGTTTTTAGTTTGTTCTTAAATATCTGTTTTCTTGGGTCACAGCCTCAGCTTTCTCTGAAAGATACCTTGGGATGCCATCTAAGGAAGAAAGCACTTACCAGGTAAGTAGTTTAAAAATATCAAAGAAAGAAGAGTATTTTTGTTATAAAAATTCAGTTAAAATTGCTTATTTAGATCTATAGATACAGATATTTCTATTTTCCTTTATAGGCAGCCAGTGTGCTACATAATATTCATGGCTTGAAAGAAGAAAATATATTAATAATTCATGGAACTGCTGACAGTAAGTATTATACTTGCTGCTGCTGTTTGATAGGGTATGACCTTTTACAAAGGCATACAACTAAGGACTTGCTTACAGGAAGCCCTGTAAACCATCTGAAGAAGAGAGCAAAGAGTTGCACAAAGAATCAGATACATGATAGGAGGTGGGAAAAAAGAATTCAGAAATAAGAGGAGAGGAAGCTATGCCTCAAATGGCAGCATTGTCTAATCAAACTCCCTGTAATGATGGAAATACTTATCAATGCTGCTGAATACAATAGTCACTGGCCACTTGTGGCCATACTGTGTTTCGTGTGACTGAGGAACTGAAATGATTTTATTTAATTTTAATTTAAAAAGGCAGTTGTGGCTAGCAACTAGGGCTACAGTGTTACTCAGCACACCTAAAGTGGAAACCAACTTAGAAAACAGAAACCAAAAAGATGCAAGCACCGACATGAAATTCTAATGAGGTTACCCATTTAATGAACTTAAAAACTTTAAAAAGGCATTTTCATACCATCTGTCATTTTTTTCATCAACCTTGGAGGTAAATGTGATTGATGTTAGTAGTAATAAATAATTTCATTTTGTATTTACATGACACTCCTAGGGACCAAAGAATCTATGTTTTATTATCCTCTGTGATACTCTACAACAGAAGGCTGAATATTTATAGCTCCATTCATGGATAAGAAAAATCAATTTCAAAAAGGAAACATATTTATCCAAGGCCATCTAATAAGTGAGCCAAGAAAGTCAAAGTCTTGAATCAGTATTTCCTAAATCTTGAACTTAACTCCTTCCTCTTTAGGGTGGGTTCCACTGAATGATTTGCTTTAAGGATGCTATATGGAAAAAGAGGAACTTTCCAGTGGAAAAATTTGACAAACATCACATCGACAGTGATAAGTCATGTTGTTACTGTTATTAAATGCCCATGATATGATGTAGTGGGAATGGCATTTTACCTCCATGGTGTAGTACTCCAAGCTCATACATAACTTCAGTCTAACTCTGAGAAAAACGTCAGACAGACCCAAGTGAGGAAAATTCTATCAGACTCCAAGCCAATACTCTTCAGAACTGTTGGGGTAATCAGAAACAAAGAAAGTCTTAGAAACGCTCATGGACCAGAGGAAGTTAAAAAGACATGACGTCTAAATATAATGTGGGATCCTGAATGGAACCCTGGAACAGAAAGAGAATACAAGAAAACAAGAATAGTAACAACAAAAACTAGTGGACCCCAAATAAAGTGGGTTTAGTTAATGGTAGTATATGAGTGTTAGTTTCTATTTGTGACAAAGTATATAATAATGTAAGATATTAACAACAGGGGAAATTAGAGAATGGGTATCCAGGAACTCTGTACTGTCTTTGCAACTTATCTGAAAATTCAAAACAATTAGTATTAATAGTCTATTAAAGAAAGATATAAATGATACAATACCAGTGCTGGGTGAAACATGATGGAAGAGAGCATAAAAATTTTGAAGGACATTTGGATGTTGTTCTAACGTATTAAGACCTTACATATACATCAACCAGTAATAAAAATAAATAGCAATTAAGTACTCATTGTATGTCAGCAATGTGCTAAAAAAGCATTTAATGTCTCATTTGGACTTCTCACAAACACTGAATAGTAGGTATTACTTTTATTTAACAGATTGGGAAAATATTAGAAAATGATATAACTTGCCTAAAAGTGTAGACACAATTGATTAGTAGGAAGGATATTTGAATCCATGTATTGAGCCTTTTATTCACTGTGCTCTGAAGCCTTGGTCGTGTGAATAAATTATATTCAAGGTTAAATTATTTTACACGTCTACCCTTAGCACCGGACTAATATATTAGTGCTATTTCAAATTTCTCTGTCAATATCTTGTAGCTATAAGGCTAAATCACATTGTTCTATATGACTCACTCAGTCACAGACCTGGCGCTTCATCCATCTAATAAAATACAAGCAGAGGTTCAGCCCTGGTCCCTTCAGAGAAAATGCACCTGTGAATATGCAAGAGCACACACACACACAAGCACTCACACGCACAGGCACACGTATACACACACCACACAACCCATATGGGCCTGGTGAATTACAGGTGCTCGGTATGACACTATTACACCACTATTATTAATATTACCTTCAAAAATTACCAGCAAATCAATTCAATCAACCAGTCAAACCTGTAATGTTTCCTTTTAGCTACAGTAAACAGACAAATGGCAACAAATATCAATGCACTTTGCACTAGAAAAAGCTGAAGAACTCGAATCGGAAAAATTCGTTTGCAAATTTATTTTCGGCTGTATCCATACAGAGAAATGAGGGATCATATTACCTCTGTCATTGACCTTATTAATTAGCATTTCTAGAAACTTACATGTATAGAGCAGTTTGTACTTATGTAGCAATGACAAGGTCATTTTCCCATTAAGTGTCATAAGAAGATGTTGAAAAAGATCTTGACTATTTTTTAATAGGTTTAAATGATTGGCATTTTACATTCTCTGCTGTGTAGTCTGATTATTCAGCATTCCAGAGTTAGAGCATTAAAGCAGCTTAAACTATTAATAAGGCTGCCCTAGTTTTGCAGTGACAATTAAAAATGTTAGTTTAGGCCGGGCACGGTGGCTTATGCCTGTAATCCCAGCACTTTGGGAAACCAAGGCAGGCAGCTCACGAGGTCAGGAGTTCGAGACTAGCCCGACCAACATGGTGAAACCCCGTCTCTACCAGAAATACAAAAATTAGCCGGCCATGGTGGCACATGCCTGTAATCCCAGCTACTCAGGAGGCTAAGGCAGGAGAATCGCTTGAACAAGGGAGGCAGAGGTTACAGTGAGCTGAGATCATGCAGCTGCACTCCAGCCTGGGTGACAGAGTGAGACTCTGACTCAAAAAAAAAAGTTAGCTTATACATTAGTTACAGAAATTTGAAGATATACAAACCACAGGAATGAACAGCCCAGACAGAATGTGAGCAAACTGCTGCAGAGAGATTTGAGTGCACCAGAGCTTCATACCTACTAAATCCAGGGCTGTTGGGCTGCTTACTTGAGAATTTCAGATCTTAGGTTCAGGCAGAAGGAAGATAAAAGAAAGCAAGAGTAACCAGTATGCTCTATTTTAAATAGTTAGCCTGTGTATAATGAGATGTGTATTCTGTTTTTTCAGTATGGGGTATTCTTTTTTATTTTGAATAATAAAGCAGAATGCCAGTATCCAACTGAGACTGTGGCCTAGTAATCTTCAAAATTAGTCATCTTCAAAAAACTCGTAATCTTCAAAATCTTTCTATCTAAAACCAGATATAAGTCTTTTAAATATGTGATACATATATAAAATAAAATCTCTTTGAAAAATAATCTGAAAAAGTTCTGTTACAAGAAATGTGTTTCTTCAAATATCATAATATGATTTCTTGCAGCAAAAATTCATTTCCAACACTCAGCAGAATTAATCAAGCACCTAATAAAAGCTGGAGTGAATTATACTATGCAGGTAAGCTACTTTTTTAGAGTAATGTGTTCTCTTGTCATGTTTTTTCAGTGGTGAGATATACAACACAGCTTCTCTATTATTCCATTCTCCATACTATTATTTTTTAATATGTTTTTTAGGTACCAAAGATTGTGTTTTTCGTTCCTAATTACACTGAGAATGTGGATCAGCTCATGCTTTAAAAGTGAATTGCGTGAATCCTTTCTAAATTGTCATTACCGTCTCAGACTTATTCATATCCCAAATATTGAATTCTTTTAAAAGTAATAAGTTCCTATTTCCCTTCTTATCTCTTTTTTCTTTTCTTCACTTCCAATAATTCTCACAATAAATAGTGGCTAAAAAATGTTTGGGGAACTATTTGAAGAAAAGAAGAGAGGATAAAAGGCAATTTTCATTACCATTTACACCTGTGCATTCCTATGTTTAATATATATTTATCAAGGACTTTACAGTGGTCACTCTGCTCTATGAGTGACAAGACATACATTACACGATCAAGGAGCTTCCAGTGTAATAAAGGAGTCATATAAAGAAAAAAAATAGTCATTTTAATTTCTCGGCATTCAGAAGAACCAAAAATAGTTCAACCTGTCTAAAACACAAAGTACCAGGTTTAGGATGATGAAAGATGAAGATATACAGATAAACAGATCTCAGGTCATTCCATAAGCATGACCAGAGCACATTGAGGAGTATGGAGTTTTATGGAAAGGATAATAAGGTACCATTTAAAACTTTGTACTCAGGCATTGATGGGACAACATTTGCATTTTTTATTTGTATTTTAGAAACAGTAACAATTTTGTTTACACTGGAAAGGGCATTGTCAAAGTAATAATTGCACCAGACAGTGTTAAACAGGCAAGGAAGACAATGAAAAACTACTGCAAAGAAGCCAGAGACTGAACTCAATGCTTTTTAAATAAAGATCTGGAATTTTTTTTAAGTAAATACTCCTAAAAAAGAGATGAGGGGGATAAAGCCTGCAGTCAAAAAGAAACTGTCCAAAGTTTAGTCAAGCTGAGGGCAAGGTTAAGTCCCTCTTAATAAACATAAAAATGAAAAAGTTTACCTTTAATGGCCAACACATTCTAATTTAAATACCAAAAAAAAATGTGTCAAATATTAATTGATGTGATTACTTTTTTTTTAAGTTTAGCATGAAGAACTTAAGAGTTGAATTAGGTGAGATTTTGATCAGTTATTATTATTCAAAGTTTCCATGCCACTGGGGCTCAGAAAGTGAATGTGAGGGGCAATAGCTTCTCTGATAATTTGAAATCTTCTTTCCCCTCAATATCTTAGGTCTACCCAGATGAAGGTCATAACGTATCTGAGAAAAGCAAGTATCATCTCTACAGCACAATCCTCAAATTCTTCAGTGATTGTTTGAAGGAAGAAATATCTGTGTTACCACAGGAACCAGAAGAGGATGAATAATGGACTATATTTATACAGAACTGAAGGGAATATTGAGGCTCAATGAAACCTGACAAAGAGACTGTAACATTGTAGTTGCTCCAGAATTTCAAGGGCAGCTTTTGGAGATGACACTGGAGCAGCACACTCAGAGACAGTGAACTAGCATTTGAATACAGAAGCCCAAGTCTACTGTGTTGCCAGGGGTGCAGAACCTGTTTCTTTGTGTAAGAAAGGTCAAAGGGTTGGTTTCCTGGGAGAAATTAGTTTTGCATTAAAATAGGAGTAGTGCATGTTTTCTTCTGTTATCCCCTCTGTTTGTTCTATAACTACTTGCTCTCATTTTAATTTCACTGGCCACCATCATCTTTGCATATAATGCACAATTTATCATCAGTCCTACAGTCCCTGATCTTTCATGGCTGAGCTGCAATCTAACACTTTACTATACCTTTATAATAAGTGCAATTCTTTCATTGTTTATTATTATGCTTAAGAAAATATTCAGTTAATAAAAAACAGAGTATTTTATGTAATTTCTGTTTTTAAAAAGACATTATTAAATGGGTCAAAGGACACGTAGAAATGCGGATTTCAGCACCTTCCAAAGTTCAGCCAGTTATCAGTAGATACAATGTCTTTAAATGAACACACAAGTGTATGTTTCACAATATATATACACACACACACGTGTGCATAAACAGTTAATGAAACTATCTTTAAATGTTATTGATGCTATAAAGGGTAAACTTTTGATGAATTAGAAGAGATGCTCTTTTCCAAGCTATAATGGATGCTTTGTTTAATGAGCCAAATATGATGAAACATTTTTTCCAATTCAAATTCTAGCTATTGCTTTCCTATAAATGTTTGGGTTGTGTTTGGTATTGTTTTTAGTGGTTAATAGTTTTCTAGTTGCATTTAATTTTTTGAATATGATACCTTGTCACATGTAAATTAGATACTTAAATATTAAATTATAGTTTCTGATAAAGACATTTTGTTAACAATGCAATGCCACTGAGTGCTATTTTGCTCTTTTGGTGGAGAAGGCTTTTTTAAAAAACTCTTGGTCCTTTTACTTCTATCTCTCAGTGCAAAATCAGTTCTCATTTTCATTGTAAAAGCAAATAGCTGGATTATTTCATTTGCCAGTTACTATTTAGTATTCCATGCCTGCCCAGTTCATCTGTTACTGTTTAATTTCAATCCGTTTGGTGAGAATTAGAAATGAAATATTTTTTATTCATTGGCCAAAAAGTTTACGAACAGCAGTGTTTGCTATTTAATTTGAATTGAAGGCACAAAATGCATCAATTCCTATGCTGTGTTGACTTGCAGTAGTAAGTAACTGACAGTGTAAAATAAACTTGACTGTATTAAGTCAATTTAAGTGATGAGAACATTAAATTTGGTGACTAAAGTCAGAGTACCTCTCACCTCACTTAAGGGAGCTTCCAGAAGACATTTAAAAGTCTGTAATCAAGCTTAGAAGTTCAAATAAATCTAGCCAGGGATACTGCAGTTTTGTGGTTTTAAAAAAGTCCTTAGAATAGACTAAATTATCACAACTTATGGCATCAGGAAGAAACTTTCAAATAAGGAATCACTCAGTCACTCTCCTGTTTTGTTGAAGGATCAACCCAAATTCTGGGTATTTAGGAACATGTGAATCATGGATTGGGTATTCCACTTTTTTCCTGGATGCTTTGGAATTGTGTCTTCCATGTTCCATTGGATTCAATTTAAAATGAGGAAGGCTTTCTCTACTGCAAGGCCCATTTTAGGCCTTTTTCAAGAATAGTGAACACATTTTTTAACAAAATAAGTTGTAAATTTAAAAGGAAAGTTTTGCCTATTTTATTAAGATGGAAATTTCTTTTTAGGCTAATTTGAAATCCAACTGAAGCTTTTAAATATTTTAAATTTGAACCACTAGAGTTTTTTATGATGCAAATGATTACGTTGTCTGAAACGTGGTTTTATTGAATGTCTATTTGCGTATCATTTAAAAAAGTATTTGCCTTTTACTGTCATCATTTCTCTTGTTTTATTATTATCAATGTTTATTCAATTAATTTAATACAGTTTCTAATGTGAAAGACATTTGTCTGGAACCCATTTTCCCCTTAAATGCTAGAGACCTCAATATGCTAAAGCATATTGCTTAGTAGGGAGGTAGAAAATTTTTATCTCTGTGATTTTTAGAGTTCTAATGACAGGGTCATTTTCAGTAAAGGAAATGCTCACCAACACATAATCACCAAATATTAAAGAAATCATGTAATTTGATTTACCCCTTTATACATTTAACCTTGGTCATAATCCCACTATTTTATACATATTTATGCATTGCTAGAGTTTCCTAGGACTCCAATAGCATGCTTTTCAAGTGTTATTAGTTCCTTAATGTTAAAGAAAAAAATCGATATATTAAATGCTATAATAAAGTAGGTAAGCAATGTTAAATCATCCACAGAGATAAACAACCTCTTGAAATGCTTTTGAAAGAGAAAAGTGTTCACTTTCATTGCCTTCATTAAGATCTCCAAATACTCAGAGACTAAGAAGGCTATTCTCATCTATTTGTGTTTCCTGACAGAACTAAGGAAAGGAGACACTCTTCAAAAGGTGTATATCAGTTCACGCTGAAAATGTGCCTTTTTACTTGGGTGTTTAGCATAAAAATCACTACTGGGGATCTTACAGGTGTCTGTTGTAGATCTGTTACAGTGTGGTGACTTAGACATTGAGCTTTACCACATAGACAATGACTTAAGCCATTGTCCTTCAAATGTTGGGCTTTGAAACAGAAGTACCTGGGACTGAATTGCTCTCAAGTCTCTAGAATCAGTGACAACACACAGCTTTTATGAGGAATTATATATGAAATACCTCCTGTGTCCCTCCTCATGTTCTCTGACCACCTTCACATCATGCAGCAACCAACATTGCATGAATAGAATCTGAACTCTCAGCTGTGCTCATTTCACTTTCTGTTCTGGAGATTCTCTGATACTAATTTTGGCTACTTCCTAGAACCAAGAGACGAATCGCTTATATACTGCAAACCTATGTGAGGGTGTTAGTAACCCACTAAAACACAACGAATGAAAGACTGTAGCAGGTAACTAAGCTTTCCCTCAGATATTCTACATGGTCCATGGAAGGCTCTGTGGGCCCCAGAAGCTCACAGGTGCATACCCTTCTATTTTCCTCTTCCCCATTTTACTCTTTGAAGTTCCCTCCTCCTATTCCCTAGGATCACTTTCCAAAATAAATTGCAGGTGTGCTAGTTGTCTTAGACTGCTTTCTGGAAACTATTTTTCTCCTCCACAAGAAATTATCACTGTGAATATTATAGGAGGAAGATATAGAATAAATAAGTGGTTTATTTTAAGTGCCAAATCTCTGATAAATACTCTACATGCACTATCAAATTGAATCTTCTCAAAATGCTCTGAGGAGGTATTATGTGTCCCATTTTACAGATATGAAAATTGAGTTTTAGAGAAGTATATAACTGGTCCAAATTTATGTAAGTAGTAAATAAAAAGACTGAAACCCAGCACCAGCCAACTTAGAAGTCCATGTTCTCAGTCATTCTACTCTACAGCGCTCCTAAAATAAGGAGAGTTAACCTGTGTTGACGCCACAGGAGAAAAGATTCTGAATATTTAAACACACATTTCCAAATACATTTTAGAGTAATTTGATAGCAATGATACTGAAAGGTAATGGACAAACCATTTTACCATTGTGGAATGTTTGAAGATACATGAATTCCCTAATGACAAGAGGACATATGTAACATTAAAACATGTTTTCTCTTCCATTGAAGATAAGTAAGAGTTATTCCTGTGCATGGAAACCCTTGCTCAGAAGACCATGACTATATGCTTGGAAGGCATTAGTAAATCTCCTTGCTTGGGCATTACGCCAAAAATACTGCAAAATCATTCGGAGAGGCATCCATATACTGCAGAAATGCTGAATTGTTCAAAACACCCAGACTTGTAAACATGAAAGCCTCATGTAGTTTTCAAACCCTACAAAATACACAAAGCATGTCACAACATTTCAAGTCAGAGCAGACACCCACAATCCTATTTGCAATCTGACACAGGAAAATCCCATTACCTCCCACTGTTCTACTAGTGTAGAAATAGAGTTGGTTTACCACTGATCAGATCTGCTAACAACACTTTTATTTCATTTAGCAATATTCCAGCAATTATTGAGGAGAGAGTCTGTGAATTTGGAAAAAAAAATCTCTCACCATAAACAAGGCAGACAGGTTTTAAAAAGAAATAAGTCATGTCAAAGTACAATTTTTATTATCACATCAAAGTTCAATTTTTATTATTACTTCCAATTAAGTTTATGGTCGACTGTTATAAACATCACAGGCTTCTAATAACAACAGTTAGTATAGTAAGAAAATTTCTGTGCTAGTTCTCACAACTGTCTATTTCTATCATAACTACCCCCATTTTAACGAAGTTGTCTTTGACATGTGTGAAGCTTGAGAATGCAGACTTCTAACCAGCCAATAGCATCAGAGAAAAGGAACTCACATTTATTCTACACCTATGCTTTTTTACATAAGCTCAGCTAATCCTCAGTCCAACCATATGAGATAGATACTATTGTTCTCTGATAAAGAAATCAAGATTCAGAGAGGTTAAACAATTTTCCAACAGAGCCACACAGTACGTAAATGATAGAACCAATATTTGAAGTCAGACGCCCTTACATGTGATGGTTTAATCTATGCATTTTTTAAGCTAGTAAGTTCCTAAAGTTCATCATCATATCATCATGTCTTTGGATTCAATTTTCAACCCCCTCCCCCCACTGTTCAAAGATGTCATTTTGTTTGCTTCTGGCTGCCGGTAACTGAATACAAAATTTTAAATGGCTTAAATACTTCTGATTCAATATATGCACAGCTTGGACATCACCGGGGATGACAGATACATACACTCTAAGGCACTGCCATGACCTTCTTGAATCAGAATCCAAATGTTAACAAGATCCCCCAGTGATTGTTGTGCACATTAAAGTTTGAGAAGCACTAGCTTAAATGATAGGAACTATTACTGACTCATTTCACAAGAGCCCTGACGCTGGGTGTTTCCAGGGCAGTTAACAGATCAATGATAGACTCAAATCCCAGTCTCCTCCCACCTTTATACTTCTGCTTTGGTCTGTTTTTTGTTCCCTGCTTTGTCTTCAGACAACTGCAGCTGCCCAGGCAATGTATCTTTTCAGAACAATGTCCAAGGATAGAGGGTCAAAGGATGACTCTCCTCTTGCCTATCGTTTATCAGGAAAGATAATTTTCTCTGGAAGTGTTAAGAAGGATTTTCTCAGGTCCCTTTGTACTGTACAGGCTTTGACTGCAAGCCCTTCTCCTAGATATTAGGAAAGCTGGAAAGTTGTACCTCTGAAACCACCATTTCTTCGGTGAGGGTGCCACAAGGAGGGATAGGAGAATGAACCTAAAATAAAGGCACAGAAGGGAAAGGTATACTCCACCCATGGTGATAAGGTCCTTGATGCTCACGTCTCATCTGGAGAACTACCTCAAAGTATTAAACATTAAGAGCTGTGTTTTATATATAATACAGTAGGTAGCTAGTCAGACATCAGCAGAGGAGGAGAGCGTTCCTGCCCACCAGGAATGTCTGGTGACCATCAGGTGATGGTCAGGCAGTTGTTACACTGCATCTCTAAAATAATTGATCCTAACTAGCGCCAGGGAAAGGCGAGCTTCCAATAAACAAAAACACCTGAAACTGGCGATAAGCAGCTTCCCAATAATATTACTATCCCAGAACCTGGGCTAATGGGCCCAAGTGTGCACACTGAGAGGCAAAATGGTGGTGTTTAACTGCTATGTGACCATCAAGGGACATTTGGCTGTCAAAGGAAGACTGCATCAAGGAAGCAAGTATACAACTCCAGTAAACACACTGCACCTGCAGCCCCTCCCAAACTGGCAGGCCACTGCGCATGCAGACGGACCACCCCAAGTGAACTCAGGGGAGAGGTAATGCAAGACCCCGGACGTATGCCAGCATACAAAACCGTAAGTCAAAAGGTCAAACAGTGCACTTTATCTCTCAAGTTGCCCACTGGCCCTCTTTCAAGTGTATTTTATTTTCTTTCCTGCCTTCTCTTTAAGCCTTTTAATAAACTTTCACTCCTGCTCTAAAACTTGCCTTGGTCTCTCCTTCTGCTTTCTGCCTCCTCAGTGGAATTTTTACTCCTGAGGAGGCAAGACCTGAGGTTGCTGCAGACCCATACGGATTCACTGCCAGTAACATACAGACCTAATTTTCCTCCCAGAAGACCCCAAACATCGACTCCACTGTCTGCTCCTGAGTGAGTACACTCTTCCGTAGTTGACATTTTCTGTTTTCACCTATGCTCTTCATCATTGACACATTTTCCAGTGCAGGCAAGCGGTTTTGAAATGTGATTGCTGTGCTAGCAGTCCCATTTTGTAGGCTTTATTTGCTCTAACACAATTTATGATGCCTTGATTATCTCCATATGGCCTAAATTGCTAGGCACGCCATTAATTCTCCTGATTGATGGATTGTGTAAGGCATATACCAAAGGGAAAAGAAAAGGCCTGACAAGGAAACACAGGTAACACAGCCTCCCAATTCATATGCACTTTTAATGGGTGTAATTCTCATTACACTCCAACTCTCTACGCCTTAGGACATCATGTGTGACTTTTAATGATCTGTATAGTGTAATTGGATTTCAAGTCCTTGGGAATTGTAAATTCCCTTGCTCAGATAAAGAAAAAATTTTAGCATCAAGGTTGACTTCAGTAATAAAATAACACAAAAATAATTTATGCCTACTACGTGCCAGGTACTCTGCTGTATGGCACAGTATTAGGATCCTTGTTTTAGTATTTAATCTGATTAATTAGGCTAACATATAAATGGATATTTCAGTACAAATGTTACAGCTAAATGAGTCATCAGTTACTAGAAAATATCAGCATATTCGA